TGAGCACCTTCTCCTGTGCAACTACCCCTGAGCACCTTCTCCTGTGCAACTACCCTGAGCACCTTCTCCTGTGCAACTACCCCTGAGCACCTTCTCCTGTGCAACTACCCCTGAGCACCTTCTCCTGTGCAACTACCCCTGAGCACCTTCTCCTGTGCAACTACCCCTGAGCACCTTCTCCTGTGCAACTACCCCTGAGCACCTTCTCCTGTGCAACTACCCCTGAGCACCTTCTCCTGTGCAACTACCCCTGAGCACCTTCTCCTGTGCAACTACCCCTGAGCACCTTCTCCTGTGCAACTACCCCTGAGCACCTTCTCCTGTGCAACTACCCCTGAGCACCTTCTCCTGTGCAACTACCCCTGAGCACCTTCTCCTGTGCAACTACCCCTGAGCACCTTCTCCTGTGCAACTACCCCTGAGCACCTTCTCCTGTGCAACTACCCCTGAGCACCTTCTCCTGTGCAACTACCCCTGAGCACCTTCTCCTGTGCAACTACCCCTGAGCACCTTCTCCTGTGCAACTACCCCTGAGCACCTTCTCCTGTGCAACTAACTACTTCTCCTGTGCACCTCCTTCTCCTGTGCAACTACCCCTGAGCACCTTCTCCTGTGCAACTACCCTGAGCACCTTCTCCTGTGCAACTACCCCTGAGCACCTTCTCTGTGCAAACTGTACCCCTGAGCACCTTCTCCTGTGCAACTACCCCTGAGCACCTTCTCCTGTGCAACTACCCCTGAGCACCTTCTCCTGTGCAACTACCCCTGAGCACCTTCTCCTGTGCAACTACCCTGAGCACCTTCTCCTGTGCAACTACCCCTGAGCACCTTCTCCTGTGCAACTACCCCTGAGCACCTTCTCCTGTGCAACTACCCCTGAGCACTTCTCCTGTGCAACTACCCCTGAGCACCTTCTCCTGTGCAACTACCCCTGAGCACCTTCTCCTGTGCAACTACCCTGAGCACCTTCTCCTGTGCAAACTACCCCTGAGCACCTTCTCCTGTGCAACTACCCCTGAGCACCTTCTCCTGTGCAACTACCCCTGAGCACCTTCTCCTGTGCAACTACCCTGAGCACCTTCTCCTGTGCAACTACCCCTGAGCACCTTCTCCTGTGCAACTACCCCTGAGCACCTTCTCCTGTGCAACTACCCTGAGCACCTTCTCCTGTGAGCACCTACCCCTGAGCACCTTCTCTCCTTGCAACTACCCCTGAGCACCTTCTCCTGTGCAACTACCCCTGAGCACCTTCTCCTGTGCAAACTACCCCTGAGCACCTTCTCCTGTGCAACTACCCCTGAGCACCTTCTCCTGTGCAACTACCCCTGAGCACCTTCTCCTGTGCAACTACCCCTGAGCACCTTCTCCTGTGCAACTACCCCTGAGCACCTTCTCCTGTGCAACTACCCCTGAGCACCTTCTCCTGTGCAACTACCCCTGAGCACCTTCTCCTGTGCAACTACCCCTGAGCACCTTCTCCTGTGCAACTACCCCTGAGCACCTTCTCCTGTGCAACTACCCCTGAGCACCTTCTCCTGTGCAACTACCCCTGAGCACCTTCTCCTGTGCAACTACCCCTGAGCACCTTCTCCTGTGCAACTACCCCTGAGCACCTTCTCCTGTGCAACTACCCCTGAGCACCTTCTCCTGTGCAACTACCCTGAGCACCTTCTCCTGTGCAACTACCCCTGAGCACCTTCTCCTGTGCAACTACCCCTGAGCACCTTCTCCTGTGCAACTACCCCTGAGCACCTTCTCCTGTGCAACTACCCCTGAGCACCTTCTCCTGTGCAACTACCCCTGAGCACCTTCTCCTGTGCAACTACCCCTGAGCACCTTCTCCTGTGCAACTACCCCTGAGCACCTTCTCCTGTGCAAACTACCCCTGAGCACCTTCTCCTGTGCAACTACCCCTGAGCACCTTCTCCTGTGCAACTACCCCTGAGCACCTTCTCCTGTGCAACTACCCTGAGCACCTTCTCCTGTGCAACTACCCCTGAGCACCTTCTCCTGTGCAACTACCCCTGAGCACCTTCTCCTGTGCAACTACCCCTGAGCACCTTCTCCTGTGCAACTACCCCTGAGCACCTTCTCCTGTGCAACTACCCCTGAGCACCTTCTCCTGTGCAACTACCCCTGAGCACCTTCTCCTGTGCAACTACCCCTGAGCACCTTCTCCTGTGCAACTACCCCTGAGCACCCTCTCCTGTGCAACTACCCCTGAGCACCTTCTCCTGTGCAACTACCCCTGAGCACCTTCTCCTGTGCAACTACCCCTGAGCACCTTCTCCTGTGCAACTACCCCTGAGCACCTTCTCCTGTGCAAACTACCCCTGAGCACCTTCTCCTGTGCAACTACCCCTGAGCACCTTCTCCTGTGCAACTACCCCTGAGCACCTCTCCTGTGCAACTACCCCTGAGCACCTTCTCCTGTGCAACTACCCCTGAGCACCTTCTCCTGTGCAACTACCCCTGAGCACCTTCTCCTGTGCAACTACCCCTGAGCACCTTCTCCTGTGCAACTACCCCTGAGCACCTTCTCCTGTGCAACTACCCCTGAGCACCTTCTCCTGTGCAACTACCCCTGAGCACCTTCTCCTGTGCAACTACCCCTGAGCACCTTCTCCTGTGCAACTACCCCTGAGCACCTTCTCCTGTGCAACTACCCCTGAGCACCTTCTCCTGTGCAACTACCCTGAGCACCTTCTCCTGTGCAACTACCCCTGAGCACCTTCTCCTGTGCAACTACCCCTGAGCACCTTCTCCTGTGCAACTACCCCTGAGCACCTTCTCCTGTGCAACTACCCCTGAGCACCTTCTCCTGTGCAACTACCCCTGAGCACCTTCTCCTGTGCAACTACCCCTGAGCACCTTCTCCTGTGCAACTACCCCTGAGCACCTTCTCCTGTGCAACTACCCCTGAGCACCTTCTCCTGTGCAACTACCCCTGAGCACCTTCTCCTGTGCAACTACCCCTGAGCACCTTCTCCTGTGCAACTACCCCTGAGCACCTTCTCCTGTGCAACTACCCCTGAGCACCTTCTCCTGTGCAACTACCCTGAGCACCTTCTCCTGTGCAACTACCCCTGAGCACCTTCTCCTGTGCAACTACCCCTGAGCACCTTCTCCTGTGCAACTACCCCTGAGCACCTTCTCCTGTGCAACTACCCCTGAGCACCTTCTCCTGTGCAACTACCCCTGAGCACCTTCTCCTGTGCAACTACCCCTGAGCACCTTCTCCTGTGCAACTACCCCTGAGCACCTTCTCCTGTGCAACTACCCCTGAGCACCTTCTCCTGTGCAACTACCCCTGAGCACCTTCTCCTGTGCAACTACCCCTGAGCACCTTCTCCTGTGCAACTACCCCTGAGCACCTTCTCCTGTGCAACTACCCCTGAGCACCTTCTCCTGTGCAACTACCCCTGAGCACCTTCTCCTGTGCAACTACCCCTGAGCACCTTCTCCTGTGCAACTACCCCTGAGCACCTTCTCCTGTGCAACTACCCCTGAGCACCTTCTCCTGTGCAACTACCCCTGAGCACCTTCTCCTGTGCAACTACCCCTGAGCACCTTCTCCTGTGCAACTACCCCTGAGCACCTTCTCCTGTGCAACTACCCCTGAGCACCTTCTCCTGTGCAACTACCCCTGAGCACCTTCTCCTGTGCAACTACCCCTGAGCACCTTCTCCTGTGCAACTACCCCTGAGCACCTTCTCCTGTGCAACTACCCCTGAGCACCTTCTCCTGTGCAACTACCCCTGAGCACCTTCTCCTGTGCAACTACCCCTGAGCACCTTCTCCTGTGCAACTACCCCTGAGCACCTTCTCCTGTGCAACTACCCCTGAGCACCTTCTCCTGTGCAACTACCCCTGAGCACCTTCTCCTGTGCAACTACCCCTGAGCACCTTCTCCTGTGCAACTACCCCTGAGCACCTTCTCCTGTGCAACTACCCCTGAGCACCTTCTCCTGTGCAACTACCCCTGAGCACCTTCTCCTGTGCAACTACCCCTGAGCACCTTCTCCTGTGCAACTACCCCTGAGCACCTTCTCCTGTGCAACTACCCCTGAGCACCTTCTCCTGTGCAACTACCCCTGAGCACCTTCTCCTGTGCAACTACCCCTGAGCACCTTCTCCTGTGCAACTACCCCTGAGCACCTTCTCCTGTGCAACTACCCCTGAGCACCTTCTCCTGTGCAACTACCCTGAGCACCTTCTCCTGTGCAACTACCCCTGAGCACCTTCTCCTGTGCAACTACCCTGAGCACCTTCTCCTGTGCAACTACCCCTGAGCACCTTCTCCTGTGCAACTACCCCTGAGCACCTTCTCCTGTGCAACTACCCCTGAGCACCTTCTCCTGTGCAACTACCCTGAGCACCTTCTCCTGTGCAAACTACCCCTGAGCACCTTCTCCTGTGCAACTACCCCTGAGCACCTTCTCCTGTACAAATAACCTTGTACTTCCCCCCTTTGTGCGAGCATGCACCGGCGTTCTTGAAGACCGTTGGCTCCGATGGCGGCCGCCTCCAGCTGCCGAATGACACATGCGCCCTTGGAGTAGCTCAGCGCGTCAGCGCGAGAGCTGCACCCTCCCCCTTCCGGTGCGACTCACTGTGAGTGCACGCACAAACTCACTGTGAGTGCACGCACAAACTCACTGTGAGTGCACGCACAAACTCACTGTGAGTGCACGCACAAACTCACTGTGAGTGCACGCACAAACTCACTGTGAGTGCACGCACAAACTCACTGTGAGTGCACGCACAAACTCACTGTGAGTGCACGCACAAACTCACTGTGAGTGCACGCACAAACTCACTGTGAGTGCACGCACAAACTCACTGTGAGTGCACGCACAAACTCACTGTGAGTGCACGCACAAACTCACTGTGAGTGCACGCACAAACTCACTGTGAGTGCACGCACAAACTCACTGTGAGTGCACGCACAAACTCACTGTGAGTGCACGCACAAACTCACTGTGAGTGCACGCACAAACTCACTGTGAGTGCACGCACAAACTCACTGTGAGTGCACAGCACAAACTCACCTTCTTGAAGGCGTCGGCTCCAATGGCGGCCTCCAGCTGCCGAATGACACATGCGCCCTTGGAGTAGGTCAGCGCTGAAGTGACAGCAACTAGTGCATGCATGCAACCTGCACTGCCTGCGCAAATACCCCCATGCTATCCCCCCCCCCCCTCCCGCGGACCTCCCCGGGCAAACCCCCCCTGTGCAAATCTCCCTATTGCTCGACCCTCCCTGTGCAAATTCCCCAGTGAGGAAGGTAAGCACACACGCACGGACCTTCTTGAAGGCGTCGGCACCAATGGCGGACTCCAGCTGCCGAATGACACATGCGCCCTTGGAGTAGCTCAGGGCGTCAAACACCTGGCGGGATGCGCATAGGATAAATAAGAAATAAGAATAAAGGTAAAAAACAAATGTTCACACTCCCGTCCCATCTTATCCTATCCCATCCTATCCCGTCTTACCCCATACCATCCCAGCCAATCTGATCCCATCCCCACCCACCCCTCCCAACCCCCATGCACACCTGATCAATCTCCCAGACCTCATTTCCCCCACCCACCCCATCCCATCACATCGCGCCCCCCTCCCAACCCCCCCGCACTGACCTGCTCGATCTCCTTGGGGTCGTTGATGGGCACTTCAACGGGGTGAGAGCCAGCACGGCGTCAGTGTGCAGGCACGTGTCCATGTCATTGCAGGCGGACTGCGTCCACACGTCCCACTCGGAGAAGATGTAGTCCACCCCAGCCAGCCCCCTCCCCCACTAGCCACTCTCACCGCATCCCAACCGCATCCCACCCCATCCCACCCCATCCCCACCCAACCCAACGGATTCCACCGCGCCCACCCTCACAGCGCTCACCTGCTCGATCTCCTTGGGGTCGTTGATGGGCACTTCAACAGGGTGAGAGCCCAGCAGGGCGTCAGTGTGCAGGCACGTGTCCATGTCATTGCAGGCGGAACTGCGTCCACACGTTCCCACCTCGGGAAAGATGTAGTCCACGCCCAGCCAGCCCACCCACGTGGCGAAGCCCTCGTTCAGCCACAGGTCGTTCCACCACTGCATGGTTACCAGGTTACCAAACCACTGCAGTAGTGACGTGTGGTAGAGGTTGGGATTGGGGGTTGACGGGAGAAAAAGGAGAGGCGGGAGAGGGTGGGGGGAGAAACGGGGGGTGGGGGGTGGAAAGGGCAAAGGGGTGGGGGGTGGAAAGGGCAGGGGGTGGGGGGTGGAAAGGGCAGGGAGGAGTGGGGAGAAAGGGGAGTGAAGGGCATATGAGGGGAGATCCAGGCATAGGACATGCGGCGAAAGATGTAGTCCACCCCCAGCCAGCCCACCCACGTGGCGAAGCCCTCGTTCAACCACAGGTCGTTCCACCACTGCATGGTTACCAGGTTACCAAACCACTGGAGAGCGGTGGGGCATGGGTTCCGGGTTGAGGGGAGCGACAGGGGGTGGGGAAGAAGGGGGAGAAACAGGGGCGGAAAGGGCAGAGGGGAGGGGGGGAGAAAGGGTAAAGGGGGCACAGGTCGTTCCAGCACTTCATATGAAGGGGAAGATGTAGTCCACTCCCAGCCAGCCCACCCACGTGGCAAAGCCCTCGTTCAACCACAGGTCGTTCCACCACTGCATGGTTACCAGGTTACCAAACGACTGCGGAGCGGTGGGAGTTGAGAGGGGAGGAAAAGGAGGGGTTGGACAATGGGGTTGGGGAAAATGGGGAAGCAGAGGCAGGGCGACGAGGGGGGAAATAGAAATGGGATCGATGAGGGTAGAAATTAGCAGGGAAAGTGGCAGACGTTGGTGTATGCAGGATATAATTCTTTCTCCCATATCATTTTTTCTCCATGGTTGGCCCCTCCTTAGCCTACCTGGTGGGCCAACTCGTGCGAGATGACGTAAGCCACACGCTGCTTGGTGGCAGCAGGTGCGCTGTTCTCATCCAGCAGCAGTGCCGTCTCCCTGAACGTGATGAGGCCCCAGTTCTCCATGGCTCCCATGGCGAAGTCCGGGATGGCTGCATGCACATGGTACAAGGGGAAAGGAGCCAAACACATACGAATGATGAGAGTGGGAACGCATGAGAGAGCCGTCTCCCTGAACGTGATGAGGCCCCGGTTCTCCATGGCTCCCATGGCGAAGTCCGGGATGGCTGCATGCACATGGTACAAGGGGAAAGGAGCCAAACACATACGGAATGATGAGAGTGGGAACGCATGAGAGAGCCGTCTCCCTGAACGTGATGAGGCCCCGGTTCTCCATGGCTCCCATGGCGAAGTCCAGGATGGCTGCATGCACATGGTACAAGGGGAAAGGAGCCGAACACATACGGAATGATGAGAGTGGGAACGCATGAGAGAGCCGTCTCCCTGAACGTGATGAGGCCCCAGTTCTAAATGGCTCCCATGGCGAAGTCCGGGATGGCTACACAAACATGGCATGTGGAGAAGGGAGTCAAGTAAGGAACGGGCGGGGAGTCAGTGAGAAAACTCACCAATCAGGTCGGCCTTGGGCAGAGGGTACTTGATTCCGAAGTACTCCTCAAAGAACGTGATCACCTTGCAATGCGCGCCACCAAGCGTCCTTTGAGGTATGCTGGTGACCACCCCGCACAGCGCCTCAAAACTCACCAATGAGGTCCGGCCTTGGGCAGGGGGTACTTGATTCCGAAGTAGTCCTCAAAGAACGTGATCACCTTGCACGCCACTGACAGGGCGAACCTTCCTTGCTCCTTCCTCCCTGGCGTCGTGTAGATGTTCACCTGGACGCACCAACCAATATAGGAACAGTACAGCATGAACATGTGGGCTTAGATGCATATACAATCACACCCCATACTATCACATGATTCCTAATCCACTCACATACAGTCACCAAGATCCCACTGATTGGAACAAACCCATGATATCTTTTCCACTTACATGCAATTACATATCCCCTTCCCACTCTAGCCAGAGTGCCATTGCTGGTCTTTTCTGACACACACTCCACCTCCCCCACCACGAATGCCAGCAGGTAAGTGCTCATCACAGGGCTCTCTGCAAACCGAACCACACCTGTACAACCACACCCCACCCCCCTGCAATCATGCCGCAACAAGCTTTCCCATTCTCACCAGAGTGCCATTGCTCGTCTTGTCAGAAAACTCACTCCACCTCCCCCACCACGAACACCAGCAGGTACGTGCTCACAACTGGGTTCTCGGCTAATCGAGCCACCCTCATACCACACCCTATCCAACCGTTCATCCCCGGCCTTATCCCATTCTCACCAAAGTGCCATTGCTTGTCTTGTCAGAAACACACTCCACCTCCCCCACCACGAACGCCAGCAGGTATGTGCTCATAACCGGGCTCTCTGCGAACCGAACCACCTCGGACCCGTCCGCCTGCTTCTCCCGCCCAACCTCGTCCATGTTGGACAAGCCTTGCAACCCGGTCGGCACGCGCAGTGACACCTCGAACGTGGCTTTGGCAGCGGGCTCGTCCCAGCAGGGCAAGGGCTTGGCGCGCTCCTACTGGTTCGAACTGCGTGGTTACCATCCACTTCTTCTGGCTGTCTTGGGTGTAGGATGCACCTGAAAGGGGAAAGTGAAAGGAAATGGGGAGCGCGGACGGTTGTTTCATCAGCTTCCCTCAGCAAGAAACGGATTGGCACGTTCCTACTGGTTCGAATCTAATGATCACACATCCACTGCTTCAGAAAGCACTTCAACTGAACTTCCTCCCTACTTACTCCGATCGGACACTCACAGTAGAAGCCGACCATGTTGTCGTTGTGGATGCCCGTGTACTCAAATCCTGAGCTTCGCAGGCCCCGTGCTCATCGTCCTGCCCTTCCCCCAGCACCAACTTCCCTTCCTGCCTCTCCTTACTGTTTCTGGCCGTCACACTATGTACCCAAAACAGCACTTACGGTAGAAGCCGACCATGTTGTCGTTGTGATGCCAGTGTATTCGATTCTGAGCTTCGCAGGCCCCGTGCTCATCGTCTGCCCTTCCCCCAGCACCAACTTCCCTTCCTGCCTCTCCTTGTCCAGCTCCACCGCCGGCACTCCATCCACTCCTGCTGTAAGAAGCTTGCCCCCTGTTGTCAGCTCCACCTGACGAAAAAGAAATAGTGCGGAGGAGGCAGGGCGAAAGAGCATACAACAGCTGATAATCCTCCCTTCCCTGCCTTTCCGCATCCAGCTCCACTGCTGGCACTCCATTCGCTCCTGCCTGTGAAGAGCTTGCCACCTGTTGTTAGTTCCACCTGAAGGGGATTGTGGCGAGCAGGCAGGTGAGAGAGCATCCCAGAACAGCATCTGCAATTCCATGTTAGACACCGCTGGTATTCCATCCGCTGGTCGTCACAATCCGCTCACCGTATGTCTTCTTCCTGAGACACTGAAACAGATTTAGCGACAATCCGCTCCGAACGTATGATTTCTGAACCATTGAAACAAATTCAGTGGCCATCCGCTAACCAAATCCAAATTCTGAGACAATGAAACAAATTTAGTGACGATTCCCTCACCGTAGCCTTTTTCCTAAGACATTGAAACGAAATCAGTGACAAACAGCTCACCGTATGCCTCTTTTTGGACATTAAAAACAAATTCAGTGACAACCTGCTCACTGTACGCCTTCTTTAAAAGTCACTGAAACAGATTCAGTGTCAATCCGCTCACCCTATGTCTTCATTCTGACACTGAAACGAATTAGGTCAATAAATATTTACTTTCAACTTTACTTCAACGACTTAAAAATGAAGATAATAACGTAACTATCGGAACCTTGCGCGTTTCCGTAAGGACATCAAAACCAGTTCAGTTGCTATTCGCCTACCTTATGCAGCTCCAACTCCTGCGCATGGAACCGAATCTCATTCGTCGGCTCAACCACGTCCAAATCTACGGTCACGATGCCCTTGAACTTGAAGGTCTCCAGATTCGGCTCCAGATGCAGCACATACTTTTTAGGCTTCACGGACGTAGGCAGCAGCACCGACGCCATCTTGACGAGAGGGGGTAGACTAGCTTCCGAAATAGGGCCTAAGAAAAACACAAAAGCGAAATCACCATGGAACGGATTCCGGATTACTGAATTCGTTCTCTGTGGCACGGGACAGTGAAGCCAAGTACGAAGACGGCTGATGAAATACACAAGATGCCAAACCCCTGCGCGCGAATTCGCCCTGCTCACAATGGAAACCTCTGCACCCGTGTATTAGGGTGCAAGCCAGTTGCACCCCATTGACAAGCACCTCGAGCAATACGAACCACAAAAACCGAAGTTTGACAGAAGAGACCAACGTCAAACAGTCAACAAAGAGTTACAAAATCTAATAAAAGCCCTTTTGTTAAGTGCGAATTAACGAACACTAAGCGAAAAACAAGGATCACTTAAGAGCTTTCTTTACAAGGCAACCTTGGGCTAGTCAAACGGGCATCTTGTGTAGTGCTAAGAATTCTCCAGGCTTCCTGAATCTGCCCTCGGATCTGGAGACTGGAATTTCTCACTTCCAGAATTTCCCTGGTTCGACGGAATGTGGTTCTGCTGTGCTTGACTCTTGCAGTCATCGAGATGGCGAGAAATTCCGAAACCTGTTGCCCTTCCTCGGGCTGATCTGTCCGGATGAAAATAACTTTGAGAAACTCCAGATGCACTACCCAAAAAGACAAAACAAAACATGTATAGTTGAAGTTATCTCTACTAGATTGGTTATTCCTCTATGCAACGAACAAAACATTCTATGCCATTTTATTAAAGACACGTAGCGTTTATCAACTTAAGACACCGATATAGTTTATAATCTGAACTACGCGATAAAAATATGCCTGATAAAATGGTGGAAGTTCTGGCTTTCCATCCATTCCACATCCCGAAACCCGAATTTGGAATCAGGTGGCGATGACGTGTATTGACCTGAATCAGCACCACCTGTTGCCATCTTCTTGCTTCGTCCTATCAGCACAAGAGTACCCTTCATGGATAACCTTCCAAGTTCCAACCCTCCGCTTCGTATTGCGGTTAACGAATTAGATCACATATGGCTGTATAACATGATCCGCTAGACCTTGCCCACAACACTAATACATTGGACTCCCTGTCCTAAGCTGAGTTCCAGCATTCAAACACCAATTTCTTATTCCTTTATATGGTTTTGTGTGATGAAGCTTTGTAAAAGTATGGGAAATTCAAAATAAGATGATCAGGCTACAACTTCCACTCAGACAACAATCCACCACAAAAAAGAAAAACCCAGCAAATGGAGGGAAATGTTCACCAAGGGGAGTGAACTAAGACGTTGCATATGCCTGCACTCTCTACAAATCTTCTCAACAGCTCTTCTTCAGATCCCCGGCCGTGCTTACAGGCGCTTCCACCACGGCTGGATGAAATCAAACGCGCCCTTGGCGCAACCAGCAGGGTTTCGTCGCCGTGTTGAAAATCGCGTAGTAGTTCTTAGGGTTCTGAATCATGGCGTCAACGGTGTCCTTAAGCGGGCCAGCGGCGACGGTAACACTGCTGGCCCGGGGTCCACTTGCCCTTGAACCTGTACGAGTACGGGACGAACTTCTGCAGGAACTTGGAACACGCGGAGCTCGTACGTGGTGTTCTTGTATGTCTGGCCGGCGCCCAGGTCGATAACAAGGCTGTTGTCGGCCGCGCTGTTGATTGTGAACGCGGTGGGCTCCCCGGCTCCTTGGATTCGGCCTCCGCGCCGTAGCGGATGTTGTAATCGTCGCCCTTCCTGGAAGCCATTCGAAACGCGATAAGTACGGATCAGTATCTTGAAAATGAAAATAAATTTTACGATGGGCCATGTAGAAACATGACTCTGATAAGCGATTGTGATTGTTTTTTGTCTTGGGATGAGGGAAATCTCTAAAAAACATATTTATCAAATCTTACTTGTAGATCGCCATGTACGCATAGCCGTCCGACATCTTGTCGGCGCCGTCCACGTGGTCCAGCTCAGCATAGAGCGATCCCTGATACACTCCCATGAACACGTCATTCTTCTCGATCTTCTGAAGCCCGGCGCGAACGCTCGCCGGCGGACGCGCGAATCCTGCAAACACATTCACGAACGCGTCAGTTTCTGCGTTATGACATATTTCACAGCATCGCTTTCTGATGCATTCACAGTGCATGCACGTCAGAAATGTGTATGTAAAAAGAATCTTGCTCGATGACGTACCGACTGCGGCGAGGCATGCCAACGTGATGACGAAGATGGCGATTTTCTGAGCCATAGCGGCCCTTTTCTGGCTTGAGTAGAAAAGCTGAAAACTTGAGTGTGCTGGCGAATGGATTCGGTGTTCGAGTTGCTCGACAAATGGCTGTGTGCTGCGGAATGTCTCTTTCGAGGCTGAAATGTCGAATTTATGCATTCAGCAGAGTTTGGTTTGGATTTCAGGGACGCAGCGCCGCATTTCGAGCCGCGTTGGTATATGGAGACGCACGATGATGCCGCCGAACACGCGAGGTGAAATGCCACTTCCTGGGCGCTGATCCTAGGCCGGTGGAAAAACTTTTCCCAGAGTAGTGACGAATATGTGACAGTATCGATATCTCGGCCACTGGGGGGACAATTGCAGTGTGTATTTCACTCACCAGCGCTTATATCGATTCAAGGCTATGCCTAGCCCTCACCTCAACCTAGAACCTTGGTCGCAAAACCCACAGATGCGGCTGAGCATGTTCCAGACGAAATGCACCACCGCAAAGTTCTCGTAGGTGTACAGTGATTAAATTACAAATACGGTACCACTGCCTATAGTTATCTTCAGCAGCTAGATTTTAGCTAATGGCACTAATATTTATAAGGCAACAACACCCTGTCACAACCTGACAACTAGTCCTTTGCCTCTAGTACTACATTAACTGTCACTTCACTATCCCCCCTCAGTACTGTAACAGCAACCTGCACACAATGTGTTTGCAAATCATTAGCAAAAAATCACTAAGAGACCGTACAACACCTTGTAGATGACTGGATGTGCACTTACTGTGTCTCCCACTTGGCAATCATCAAGTGCCCGATAGAGGTCCGTTCCGCTCCGCACTTTATGGTTGTCAATAGCGGTAATGATGTCTCCCAATACCAGCCGACCGTAGTTGTCTCTCGATGTGGGCCGGAGACCCTGAGCAAAGAGACAAAAACACGCACAGAACACAGTATTCACAACAGAAAAACTATATGAATGCAGCAAACAAAAGAGATTGGAGCAGTACCCTACACTGTACACACAGACTCACAGCTTTGCCTGCGGGCCCGGAGGGGAGGGGCGTCAAGCACGACCACCCCGTCGATGCCCAACTTCAACACCGCCTCCTTGGGCGCATAGGAGATGCCCAGCAGCGAACAAAGGTGATATAGTATAAGCTACAATCACTGTACACATGAACTCACGGCTTTGCCTGCAGGCCCCGAGGGCGGGGCAATCGAGCACGAGCACCCCGTCAACGCCCAGCTTCTCCACCGCCTCCTCCGGGCGCAAAGGAGATCCCCAGCACCGCCGGCACCACCCTCCCATTCTCTATTATCTGCTCCACGATGCCGCTGATCTGCGGGGTTGGGGTAATAGAGCACGAGGGGAGGGAGGCGGTTGTGAGGGTGGGGGGAGGGGAATGACTGTTCTTCAATGGGAGGTAAGTTTTTGCGTCGTAAAAAAAAAAATCCCAGCCGGAGGGTGATTTTATAGCCATGTGAAGGACTGCACTCTCGACTAGCGCATCTCGCTATAGGTACAGTCAGCATGACTCACACTGTCGGCAGGAATGGCAAATCCGACACCAAGAAGAAGCACCCGAAGGTGAATATATAGCCGTATTGATGCCGATTAGACTGCCACTAGAGTCCAAAAGAGGCCCACCGCTGTTGCCCGGATTTATAGCAGCATCCGTTTGTATCACCCCCTGTATTGGCCGCCCTGTTGCTGCTGATTGGATCTCTCTCCTCAAACCGCTGGTGAGATGGATGGGGAGGCCGGAGGAGGTGGAGGAGAGAAAGGGAAGGAGAAAGGTTGATTATGAGGAAGAAAGAGAGTGGATAAAAGAAAGTGTTTCAAGGCTGCTGTGAAGGGAGAAGATGAAGAAGGAAATTGCATGTCAGTTGCATAGCCTTCCGGGAGCTTAAAGGTAAAACAAGTGACGAGAATCTAGGCTTGCGGGCGTCCCTACCCTATACAAACGGACCTGATACTCGTTAGTTACATTACACTGACCTGATACTCGTTAGTTACATTACACTGACCTGATGACGCCTGATGTGAGAGTGTGGTCGAGCCCAACTGTGGGGAACAAGACACAAGCAAGGGCCAAGGGGGGAAGGGGGAGGAAAGGGGTGGGGGGATTGTAGGGCTTTTAAGCCGTCTCAAGAGCCGCCTTATGTGAGCGTGTGGTCGAGCCCAAACGGTGAAGAAAAAGACACACAAGCAAGGACCAAGCACAAACGGGGTGAGATTCTTGGAATCTATTGCTCCTCTTGGTATGACTGGTGTACGGGACCAAGGATCATGCAGAACAGGAGAGATGAGGTGGGGGAGAGAGAGGGGGGGGAGGGTGGAGTGAGTAAGTGAGGGGGGGTTAAGAGTGTGACTCACGGGGTTACCAATGGCGAAAACCCGTTGCCCGACCATCAAATCTGACGACGATCCGATGGTAACCGGGTGGAGCGACTCCTGAGGGGCGTCGATTCGCAGAACTGCCACGTCCTTGTCCTCATCACAGCCCACCACCACCGCTGCATGCACCGAGGAGTCTGAGAGGGGTCACTCTGTGGGGTGGGTTGCAGTCACACGGGCAACAATACAAGGAACACAAATGAATGGAGAGAGGTCAATCGGCAAACACTGCCATGTCCTTATCCTCATCGCACCCCACCACCACTGCTGCATGCACTGAGGAGTCTGAGAGTGTGACTCTGTGACGCAATGTGCTGGGGACATCAAAGGAATGGAAGTGATGGGGAGAGTGGAGAGAGGGGAGAGATTGAGAGTTGATTCGCAGCACTGCCACGTCCTTGTCCTCGTCACACCCCACCACCACCACCACCACCACGCATGTGCGTGCGTGCCATAAATAAATGAAGTGAGGAGGTGGGAAAGAGGTTGAAGGGGAGGTGGTTGCCTGTGGCACCGCCACGTCCTTGACCTCGTCTCACCCCACACCCGCTGCATGCACTGAGGAGTCTGAGAGGGTTACCCTGTGTGATCAAATGGTTGATTTTGAGAATTCTCAAAATCAACCTCAAACAAAAAGGGTTACCCTGTGAGATCAAATGGGGGAAAAGGAGATGATCAGCAGCACTGGCATTTCCTTATTCACGTGGTAGTTGGCAACGATGTGCCCCACTTCGTCTGACATGAACCCGCTGCCAAGTCCTTATTCCACCGCATTCCACCCATCCACTTACCTGAGGTCAGCGGCATTAGCGATTACGTGGTAGTTGGTCACGATATGTCCCATCTCGTCCCATATGAACCCGCTCCCCGACCCTTGCGGCACCGCCAGCACGTCGAGCGTCAGCGCGTCGCGACCCACGCCGAGGTTCGTAATGTTCACGACGGATGGCGTCGTCTCCTTGAACAATCGGACGGTCGCGATCTCATCTTGGGAAAGCGTGCGCGGAGGCGCCGCCACGTAAGCGAGAGCGGGAATCGGGGAGGAGGAGAGAAGGAACATAGCGATCGACGCTGACGCGGCTAGTTTCCGCCAACCAGAAGCCGCTGATTGCCGGAAAAAATGGAACCGTTGATTCCTGGGAATAGGAAGGGAGCGGAGAGGAGGAGGAGGAGGAAGTAGAGGAGGAGCCTACGGTGTCGCAATGCATCTTCCGCGAAAGTTCGTGTCGCCACTGCCCGAGAACCCGACGCACGGCTGTGACTAAAGCGGTTTGCACTGGTGTTCTGATGTGTTCCGATATCGGGGTCGAAGTTCAACTTGCTAACATCGCGATCCCCGTTATAAGTAGCTCCACGTGACGAAAGCGACGCGCGATGACGGTGTACCAATATCCACGCTATTAGCCTTTATGAGTAAGCTCTTGGCATCAAAGGTAGATGACTCTACTGAAGCTGGTTTTGTTAGCGGGAACTTTTCCACTGAGATTGAGGGGCTACGCGCTTCGGGAGCAACACTGCCGTTCGTTACTGGCACAGAAACTCGCGCTGCGGGTTCTGAAAGTCCAGATGACGCCACGTGGCGGCTTTTGAGTGGCTGGGATGTTCGCAACGCGCAATGGCTGGGATCGGATGATATAGCGATTAAAGGCTTTAATCGACGGGAGCGGGGCGGGAGAAACGGCCCATGCGACGCTTCGCGAAAGGAGGCTTCGGACGAGTAGCTGGTTACCCTACTGCGCGAGGACGGCACGGACGATGCACCTCGCGCGCGAACGACGTGCGACGCGGGAACGGTGGCCATGGCGGTGAGTTGACCAGGTTCCACCAGCAGAGTTGCTCCCTCCTCCCTTCAGAATTTCCGTTTTTTGGACGAAAGGGGGGAATATGATCCCTTTCTCACACTCGAGTTGTTGTTTTTGAAAAGTTCGTTTCATGTTTTCCGTCGCTGTCGCACAGTGCATCGACTCGACCGCTTGTGGTTGTTGCTTTGGTTTCTTGGGTTGTTGGTTGGTCGCTGGGTGTTTCGGGCAGGGAGGGAGGGAGGGCCATTGGGTTGGCGCTGCTGCTGGTGGCGATTATTGACTCGCTTGGGGACGGTTTCCGTCTGTTTTTCAAATCGCGCAAATTTGCCCCCACCCTCGGTATTCCTGGCGATTCGCTCGTCTATATTCCTGCTCCTCCCTTCTCTGCAAAGTGGGGTAAAGCAGGCGATCCAGAAGCGGGGTGAACGAAATTCGCGACGATGATAAATCCTCGTGCGATTCCACGTGTGTCCATACGACTACGAGCGAAAAACAACAGCAGCATCGCACAGATGCTCCTCACCAATTCCCCCTACTCCCTCCAAACACCCTCCGCTTCCTTCCGCCACCCATGCTAATCGCCGACGTCCAGTTCAAATCGATTTGTCGGCAACGAATCAACCAATCACTGCTCAATTCTCAACCTTTACGATAATGTGTTTACACATGATGCTCAACTGCTGCGCGCGAATTTGCCCTGCACGCGCCAGAAAGTCTGCACCCGTGTATTTTGCGCCAGCTAGCTGCACCCACGATACAAGCACCCCGAGCAAGCTGCATTGGCTATGAACCAATAGTAACCACAGAAACCAAAGAATATCTGAAGAGACTGAAGTCAAAAAGTCAACGAAGAGTTACAATTTTTTTTATAAGCCCTTTTTAGCTAGGTACGACGTTGACGAAATTTGCGACATAACAAGAACCCTTTAAATGCCCTCTTTACAAGGCAACCTTGGGTTAGTCAAACGAGCATCATGTGTAGCTGACGACCGAAAATGTGGCGGTAAATTAATGGCTGATGTGTGCTTGCGATGAACCGAGCTGTCGCTGACGGTCCACAATGAGTTCCAGCTTGTCGCTTACTGAAGAAAAGCGCTGCGTCGTCGAATGACATGGCGACTTGCAGCTAGACTCGCCTCAGTGAGAACCGCTTCACGGCTGAGCGTAGAATATAGTGCAGCCTTTAGAGGGACAAATTAGGCAACTCAAAATTGCAAACCAGTGGAATAAATTATGCATGCGAACAGTCAGTTAATGACAATGGTTCAACACCCAACCATTGTATTGGCTAGTAAGGCATGGCGCCAGATTTAGCAAGGATCAACGGACATATATTTAAAATTACTCCGATTTTTTGTCGCGCCCACTGTCTCCTTTATCCACAGCAAACCTCACCTTCCCTTCTCCCTTCTCCCCTTTCTCCTCCTCCCCCCTTGCCTTCTCCGAATCACTGCTCCTCCCACTTGCGGCCACACTCGCACTCCCAGCAGCAGCAACGGCCAAAGCAGCGGCAGCAGCAGCAGTACCATTAAGCGCACTATTAGCTCGTATCTCCTGTGCTTTGTTAAGCACCGCCGCCATGCGCCTGTTCCGAACCGCTTTAAATACATCCTCTACAGAGAGACCGAGCTTTCGCCTCAAGTACCGCCGGAACGCCAGCTGGATCGTGCGGGCGGCGTGCGTTCGTCTGTTGTAGCATATTTCGCTGGAGGTGATTAGAAGGAAGCACGGATGGGGAGAGGTTGAGGCGGGGAGAGGGCATGTGGGAGGGGGGGAGAAAGCATAGTTTATTTGACGGGCAGAGCGCACGATGTGAAGGCAGCTTTTACGGTTGCGTTTTTTGGGACGGAATACACAAGTTTCTGCAGAGATTGATTCTGAATCTGAAAAGCGAAGATGGAAGTTCTTATACACACACAAAAGGAACTAAAAGAAAAGAAAAGAAAAAAGCAGGAAAGAAGACAAAGAAAAGACATCTCACTTAAGGGCGCGCTGAATGGTGTTGGTGCAGAGCATGCGTGCAAACTGCTTGCACACAGACGCCACATCTGCAGCCTCTAACGAGTACCCTTCGACGGGCCCCAGGCAGCGCACCGAGCGCTGCGCTGTTGGCAAGACGTCTACTGATGGCTGGGACAGATTGGCAGAGCTGGTGAGCGATGGCGTGGCAGAGATGGCTGGGGGGCGGGGAACGGGGATGGTGGGAGGTGGGAAGGCAGTATTGGGGGGTAAGAGACGGAATGGAGGGTTGTGCTGTGGGCAGCACGTCTACTGATGGCTGGGACAGATTGGCAGAGCTGGTGAGTGATGGGGTCGCTGAGATGGCTGGGGGGTGGGTGGGTGGGGAAGCGGGGGGTTGGGGTTTGGGGATGGGGAAGTATGAGAGAAGAAAGCGAGGGTTGTGCTGTGGGCAGCAGGTCTATAGATGGCTGGGAGATGTTGCCAGAGCTGGTGAGAGATGGCGTGGCTTTTGAGGCGCCTCAAAAGATGGCTGGGAGATGTTGGCAGAGCTGGTGAGAGATGGCGTTTTTGAGACGTCTCAAAAACAACCTCGCTTCACATGGCTGGGAGATGTTGGCAGAGCTGGTGAGTGATGGCGTGGCTGAGATGGCTGGGGGGGAAAGGAACGGGGAACGAAAAAAACAAGAACGAAAACAGAGATACTCACATCTCCTCACACCCAGAGCTTCCCACCGATACTCACATCGGCTCATGGTAATCGATCGCCCCGAGCCCTTCCCGCTGGCAGCAGACAGCCTCTCGAGACACTCCACCACCAGAAGCTCCTCCCCCAGAAAGCCCCCCTTGCCCAGCACCACTGTATCCACCATCCCCGTGTGCCCCTTCCATGCGCCCCTTGCCACGCCCCTTCCCATGCAAGGACAGAATCATACTCACATCTTGACCTGAGGGTCTGCCCCCTTCCCACATGGCCGTTTCCAAGCAAGGACAGAAAGAAACTCACATCGCCGCATGGTGAGCGATCGCCCCAAGCCCTTCCCGCAACCCTCCCCTTCCCGTTCAACAAACCCAGACAACAACAGACAGAGACTCACATCTCCTCATGGTAAGGGATCGCCCCAAGCCCTTCCCGCAACCCTCCCCTTCCCGTTCAACAAACCCAGACAACAACAGACAGAGACTCACATCTCCTCATGGTAAGGGATCGCCCCAAGCCCTTCCCGCAACCCTCCCCTTCCCGTTCAACAAACCCAGACAACAACAGACAGAGACTCACATCTCCTCATGGTAAGGGATCGCCCCGAGCCCTTCCCACTGGCACTCGACAGCCTCTCGAGACATTCCACCAGAAGCTCCTCGCCCAGGAAGTCGCCCTTGCCCAGCACCACAGTGTCCACCATCCCCGTGTGCCCGCCGAACGTTGAGAAGCTCTCGAGCTCGCCGCGGAGGACAAAGAAGATTCGCGACACGGGGTAGCCCTCTCGTATGATCATTGAACCTGCTGTGTAGATCTGCTGCTGCAGCCGCGCACAGAAGGCGTCCAGGACTGGCGGCTCCATGGCACAAAACAGCTTGGACTAGAGGGGAGAGGAGGGGGGGAAGGAGGGAGAAAGGAGGGAGGAAGGAGAGGGAGTGAGGATCACAGGAGAATGGGGAGAAGGAGAACGTGGAGAAGCCATCGAGCTCTCGAGCTCGCCGCGGAGGACAAAGAAGATGCGCGTCACGGGGTAGCCCTCTCGTATGATCATTGAGCCGGCTGTGTAGATCTGCTGCTGCAGGCGCGCACAGAAGGCGTCCAGGACTGGGGGTTCCATGGCACAGAAGAGCACGGACTGTTGAGCGGGTGGGGAGGGGGAAGGGAAGGCGGAGGTGGGGAAGGGAGGGGAAGGAGGAAGGACAGGGGTGATGGGATGGTGCATCTGCTGTTGCAGGCGCGCACAGAAGGCGTCCAGGACTGGGGGTTCCATGGCACAGAAGAGCACGGACTGTTGAGTGTGAGGGGAAGAGGTGGCGGAAAGGGGACGGGAAGGGGGGAAGGAGGAAGGAGAGGGGTGTTGGGAACTGGGGTAGCTGCTCCTTGCAAGGAAGAGGGGTCCCGGGAGGGAGCTGAGGAGGGGTGGAGTAGCTTTCGAGCGCCGGATGTCAATCTGAATAGAGTCCGAGAGGCTGTCCAGCAGCTATGCCTCACATCTACCATACATTACCATCACTGCACCTTACTGTACCGTACCGTACCGTACCGTTCCGTTCCAAACCACATAACACTCACGCATTGCAGTAACTCCAAGCACAGCGAGCGGCGGAGGTCAATCTGAATGGAGTCGGAGAAGCTGTCCAGCAGCTCTGCCTCACACCCTATCATACAAGACCATTCAACACCATACCGTACCATACTGTACTGTACCGCTCCAAACCACACAACACTCTCGCATTGCAGTAACTCCAAGCACAGCAAGCGGCGGAGGTCAATCTGAATGGGGTCTGAGAAACTGTCCAGCAGCTCTGCTCCTCACACCCTACCACATCATACCGTAACACACCGTACTGTACCTCGCTACGCCAGGCGGACTCACGCATTGTAGCAGCTCGAGGCACAGCGAGCGGCGGAGGTCGATCTGAATGGAGTCCGAGAAGCTGTCCAGCAGCTCTGCCTCGTCCACGCCTCTAGTCGCCGCCCACTGCAGCCGCAGCTGCGCCTGCACTTGCCTGTGTCGGGGAGAGGGGGAGTCCAGTGGGTTGTCAACAAAGTCAACAAAGTCAACAAAGTCAACAAAGTCAACAAAGTCAAGTGGGTTGCACGTGAAGGGCGCCCAGCAACTCTGCCTATTCCACGCCTCGAATCGCCGCCCACTGCAGCCGCAGCTGCAGCTGCGCCTGCACTTGCCTGTGGGGAGAGAAAGTGAATGGAGTCAACAGGTTGAAATGTGAATCGCGTTTGGGTTAAGACAACAACTACACTGCGCAAAACCACGGGCACAGACAATCCTAGCCTCTCCAATCTAAGCGTCGGAAAGCATCAGAAGGTTCTGGGAAGCTTACACTTGGAGGTCGACAGGAAGGTTCTGGGAAGAAAGCTTACTTCTGGAGGTCAACGGGAAGGTTCCTGCGCTGCATCCACGAGTCGATGTCGTGGCGCTGAAGCTGATATTCGAATGACCTGCAGAGCGGGAGAGGAGGGGAAAGGACAAGAAGGGGAGGGACGTTGAGGCATGGCACCTTTTGAGGCGCCTCAAAAGAAGGGGAGGGACGTTGAGGCATGGCACTGCAGAGCGGGAGAGGAGGGACGTTGAGGCATGGCACTGCTAGCATGTGCATCGCAAAGGTTCCTGCACTGCATCCACGAGTCAATGTCGTGTCCCTGAAGCTGATACTCAAAGGACCTGTGGAGAGAAGGGAGGGGGGAGGGAAAGGGAGGGGAAAGGAGAGGAAGGTAAAGAGAACATTTGAGTCGACTTGAAGGTTCCTGCGCTGCATCCACGAGTCGATGTCCTGTCGCTGTAGCTGATACTCAAAGGACCTGTTGGGGGGGAGAGGAGAGGAGAGGAGAGAGAGAGAGAATAGAAGAACCACCCCTTAAGTAATTCAAGGACCATTCGAGAATAGAAGGGTTAGTCCCATATATGTAGTAGGCTTTCCTTGCACATTCCTTGCATTTGTCTGTACCTCATTTTCTACATCAATGAAAGGACCGTTCGAGAGAGGAGGTCGAGAGGAGGGCCAATATGAGGAGATATTGCTAATGAGGAGCGCCAGCAGCAGCAGACCGATGATGGTGACGACTTACTTGTGTGGTAACCACACCGGTAAAAATTAAACCGTTAACGTCCCCCATATTACTCACCTTCTGTTGAGCGACTGGAGGTAGTTGGAGGAGATGTTGCCAATGAGGAGCGTGAGCAGCAGCAGACCGATTATGGCGACTGCTGGCTACTGATGGCTACTTGTGTGGTAACTGCTATACTGTCAGTAACCGCATCGCACCACACTGCACCTACCTTCTGTTGAGCGACTGGAGGTAGTTGGAGATGTTGCCGATGAGGAGAGCCAGCAGCAGCAGACCGATGATTGTTACGACGATAACGAATAGCACCTCAACGTCCCACCGCGACGGCACCAGGTTTCCACACAGCGTGCTCACTTGCTGCGATGAGGAGGCAGGGGAGAGGAGGTGGAAGAGGGGTCAGAGAGAGGAGGGGAGAGGAGAGTGAGGGAGGCAGGAACAGCAGGAGGTCGATGATGATGACGACGATGACAAACAGCACCTCCACGTCCCACCATGACGGCACGAGAGGTTACCGCACAGCGTGCTCACTTGCTGTGGGTGGGTTGAGGGGAGGGGAGTAGGAAGGTGGGGGCGGAAGGGAAGGGAAAAGGGGACAGGAGAGTTGAGTGGTGACGAGGATGACGAATAGCAACGGCACCAGATTGCCACACAGCGCTTTTGAGTCGACTCAAAAGCAGATTGCCACACAGCGCTTTTGAGTCGACTCAAAAGCAGATTGCCACACAGCGCTTTTGAGTCGACTCAAAAGCAGATTGCCACACAGCGCTTTTGAGTCGACTCAAAAGCAGATTGCCACACAGCTCTTTTGAGTCGACTCAAAAGCAGATTGCCACACAGCGTGCTCTCCCACAGCAATCTGTGGTGCTCACTCCCCCACAGCAATCTGTGCTCACTTCACTTGCTGTGGTGAGGACAAGGGAGAGGCGCACCTGCAGGCCCCAGAAGAAGGAGTAGAGGTAGTTGGACACCACGTCCCGGCTCGCCGTGAGTGGGATGGCATTTGCAAACACCCCGTACGCGATGGGGGAGGTGTGCCCTTCTATTGTGATGTGATGCTTCAGCACTAAAGCACGCGTTCCACTAGAGAGGCACACCTTAGGGCCGATTGGCGCACCTGCAGGCCCCAGAAGAAGGAGTAGAGGTAGTTGGAGACCACGTCCCGGCTCGCCGTGAGCGGGATGGCATTTGCAAACACCCCGTACGGGATGGGCGACTGTGTCGTCTTGTCGTCCCCCGGGGTGTACAGGCATGTGGTGACGTTCGTGTTGCTGTATTGCGGTGAGAAGAGGTCCGCAGAGGCGACGGTGGTGACTGGGGCGTTGGTGTTGGCGCAGTAGAGGTAGGTGGGGTTGCAGCCCTTGGTGTTGGCACAGACGTTTTGCAGGCACTCGCTGAAACGCTGGTGGGAGGGAGGACGGGAAAAGGCCCGAAGGGAGTGTTGGGAGAAGAGAAGAGGAGAGAAGGACAGGGAGTGAGAGGGTACGACATGGGCAGTAGTGTTGCAAGACTAGAAGAAGGAGAGAAACAAGGAGGGCAGCCCGTCACGTGCGGCGCCGTGCCCGCCAGCAGCGGGAAGGCAGGCATGCAGGCAGGCAGGCAGGCAGGAAAGCAGGCAGGCAGGCAGGAATGCAGGCAGGCAGGCAGGAATGCAGGCAGGCAGGCAAGAAAGCAGGCAGGCAGGCAGGCAGGAAAGCAGGCAGGCAGGCAGGAATGCAGGCAGGCAGGCAGGCAGGCAGGCAGGCAGGCAGGCAGGAAAGCAGGCAGGAAAGCAGGCAGGCAGGCAGGAATGCAGGCAGGCAGGCAGGCAGGCAGGCAGGCAGGCAGGCAGGCAGGAAAGCAGGAAGGCAGGAAACAAGGAAGGCAGCACTCAAGTCGACAGCAAGGCAGCAGGGTGGGGGAAAGGGAAGCACTCACATCAACTGAAAGGATGTACCACACTCCGCCGACGAACTTCGACGACTTTTGAGTCGACTCAAAAGTCAAAGGGAAGCACTCACATCAACTGAAAGGATGTACCACACTCCGCCGACGAACTTCGACGCCATGAGGTACAACACCAGATTGGGCAAGCAGTACAAAGCCCAAACACCAAGTCCGTCACATGCACCCCGTGCCCGCCAGCAGCGGGAAGGCAGGAAGGGTTTGGACTCGCGCTCACTCACACCAACAGCACGGCAGCAGGAGAAGGAAGGGGAAGGAAGGGGACGGCAGGCACTCACATCAACAGCGAGAATGTACCACACGCCTCCCACGAATTTTGAGGCCATCAAGTAGAAGACCAGGTTGAGGAGGAAATTGGCCCACGCGGTCTCAAACACAAAGCCCGTCACATGCGGCGCCGTGCCCGCCAGCAGCGGGAAGAAGCGCGCGGCACGGGGAAGGAGGACTCGTACTCACTCACACCAACAGCACGGCAGCAGGAGACGGACGGAGAGGAAGGGGCAGGAAGGGGAAAGAAGGCAGGCACTCACATCGACAGCCAGGATGTACCACACTCCTCCCACGAAATTCGACGCCATGAGGTAGAACACCAGGTTGAGGAGGAAATTGGCCCACGCGGTCTCAAACACAAAGCCCGTCACATGCGGCGCCGTGCCCGCCAGCAGCGGGAAGAAGCGCGCGGCACGGGGGACGTTCTGAATGCAGAGCGCGAGGAGGGTGAGGACCGCGATCCACGTGTTGGCTGCTGTGGCCACGCTCTTGCCCAGCGCTGGGACGATTCCCAGGATGAAGATCTGATGGGGACAGGGCAGAAAGAGGCAGAAAAGAGGGGAGGGATGGAGGCTGGAGGGATGGTATATGGTGCAGAGGAACGGAGGAAAATGAAGGGGAGAGGAGGGGAGGGAATGGAATGGAAGGGAAGGGAGGTGCTGAGGGAAGAAACGGCCAGCACGGGGGATGTTCTGGATGCAGAGCGCGAGGAGGGTGAGGACGGCGATCCACATGTTGGCTGCTGTGGCCACGCGCTTGCCCAGTGCTGGGACGATCCCTAGGATGAAGATCTGTAGGGGAGGGCCGGTATGGGATGGGAAGGGAAGAAGCGGGCAACACAGGGGACGTTCTGGATGCAGAGCGGGAGGGGCATGAGCACGGCGATCCACGTGTTTGCTGCTGTGGGGAGGCTCTTGCCCAGCGCTGGGACGATCCCTAGGATGAAGATCTGATGGTGCGGGGGAGGGAGGGGAAGAGGAAGTGAGGAAGGCGAGGGAAGAAGGTGCTAAACATGAAAATACCATTACGTCACTGAAAAGGCGTTTAACGGTTTCGACCTTACGTCACTCTTGAGAATTCTCGAAAGGGGAGTACCATACCAGGGGGAATACGGGTCAAAGGCATTGCTGCCAGTGGGGGGTTGGGGGGAGGATGTGGGCCAACAGGGCTCAGACCTTCACCTGGGGGATGGGGAAGGTGGAGACGAGGTCAACCCTTGTGGAACCAGGACTTGAGGTAGCGCAGGGCAAGGAATGACCCTACCCTCGTGTCCATCTCCATGTCCCCCGGCCTGGGGCCGCTGTCTGAGAGGGCTCAGCGTGCCGCCAGCCTTACCTGGACGAGCATATCAATCCTATCCCACTCACCTGGGGGATGGGGAAGGTGGAGACGAGGTCCACGAGGAACCAGGACTTGAGGTAGCGCATGGCAATCACCCTCGTGTCCGTCTCCATGTCCCCCGGTTCCAGCTGAGAGGTCTCCGCGTACCACCAGCGCAGGCAGCTCCACCTGTAGGAGCGGTTGCTGGGCGCTGGGGCGAAATAGGCCATGCGGAACTGGTAGGAGAGGGAGGGGGGGAGGGGGGGGGGGGGGGGGGGGGGGTAATGGGTAAGGGAGGGATGTGGAGGGCAACAAGTCAAGACTGCTGGGGAAGTGAGCTTAGAGGGCTCCGCATACCATCAGCGCAGGCAGCTCCACCTGTAGGAGCAGGGGCGAAGAGGGGCAGGGGGAGAGGAGGGGAAGCGGGGGGGGGAATCGCCATGAGTCTAGAGTGGAGGAGGCAGCTCCACCTGTAGGAGCGGTTGCTGGGCGCTGGGGCGAAATAGGCTTAGGTATAATTTATACAATCCATTCATGTAATTTTGAGATCCTGATGTTGTTTTGAAATGTATTATGTCTCAATGTGCTTTTGTTAATTAAAACCAGGGTCTCACGTAGTTCATTTGTTTTGCAGTTGATGAATGGACCAAGCCTAGGAATGCTTGGCGAGGTGTAAAGTTTGACGAGGGGTGTATTGAGGGGCGCGAAGGAAACACAAATCGCAGGGTGCAACCAAACCTTCTAGGTTCGAATTTTGGTTCGGTGCCGAAGCAAAATCACCAGCCAAATGTACCAGGTTCCAGAAAGTCTCAAGTACCCAGCAATTTGTTTTGCGCTTGAATCAGGGGCAAAATCGTGAAGGTGTCGCACACTGAATATGCCTGTTTTGAGACGTCTCAAAACACCTACCACTAAACTTCGCCTACTCAAACAGGGAGACCTAGCTTCAAATGTTTTGCAGTTGAAGGCAGATTCTCTTACATGAGACCCGGGCTTTAACTCGGCACCTGTATAATACAAATGCTGAAAATTATTGGGTCAATAAATTCGGCGAAGTTTCAGTACGAGCCACACGCACTGGTATGAAAATGTCGATGAGGAACATAAGATCAACGATTGAGGTTTGAGCATGAATGAACACGCAAGTCACACACACCTGTTGCGGTCAATCACACGCACATGTATGAAGATGTTGACGAGATACATGAGATCCACGATTGAACGCATGACAGTGAGCGTGATGGCAGCAGCTCAGGAGGAATGCATGCAAGTTACCTCTCTGCGAGCAACACACACTAGACGTGTCTGGAAGTCTTGCTTACCTGTATGAATATGTTTATAAGATACATGAGATCCACGATTGAACGCATCACAGTGAGGGTGATGGCTGCAGGGTAGTTGATGTCCAGACAAAGGGTGACCTGATGGGAGTGAAGTGAGAGGAGAGTGAGATATACAGTGAAGGGTCGCGTGAGGTGAGAAAGAGGGGAGTGAGTGAGAGGGGGGCAGCGTTCGAGATAAACGGTAAAGCATCACTGTGAGTGAGGGTGATGGCAGCAGGGTAATTGATGTCCAAACACAGGGTGACCTGAGAATGTTGGGGAGAGAAAGAGGAGTGAGTGAGAAATGGGGAGCGAGAAATGGGGAGTGAGAAATGGGGAGTGAGAAATAGGGAGTGAGAAGTGGGGAGCGAGAAATGGGAAGTGAGAAATGGGGAGTGAGACATGGGGATAGAGAAATGGGGAGTGAGAAATGAGGGCTGAGAAATGGGGAGTGGGAAGGGCAACATCAGAAGTATAGAGGACCACATTAGAGGTACAACGGACCACATGATATGAATGGTAACCACATGCTGGACCACGTGCTGGTAACCACGTGCTGGTAACCAGGTACATTCTAGCAAGCCTTGGAGGGCGAGAACATGGTGACGTGCGTGAAGAGGAAACAGGTGTCAGTGCAGTGCCAGTGCTGTGCTGCATTTTTGAGGCGCCTCAAAAATGGTGTCAGTGCAATGCCAGTGCTGTGCTGCATGGTGTGCCAGGGCCCAAGAGGTTGACGAGTGCATGTGCCATTGCCGTGTGTTTACCTTAGAGGGCGAGAACACGGTGAGCAGCGTGAAGAGGAACCATGGTTCAATGCAGTGCCACTGCTGTAGGTGGTACAGATGGTAACCACATGTTGGTAACCGCAAGCACGTGCTGGTAACCACGTGCACTTGAACATACCTTGGAGGGCGAGAACACGGTGAGCAGCGTGAAGAGGAAACATGGTTCAATGCAGTGCCACTGCTGTAGGTGATACAGATGGTAACCACATGTTGGTAACCACGAGCCACGTGCTGGTAACCACGTGCACTTGAACATACCTTGGAGGGCGAGAACATGGTGAGCAGCGTGAAGAGGAACCAGGGGTCGATACAGAAGCCAAAGATGCACGTCACCATGAACCACTTGTTCCACTGCGCCACGAACCTGGGTGGGGAGGAGGGGGAGCATGGGGGCAGAGCAACGGGGAACGAATGGAGCAAGACAGGACAGGGGAACCATGGGTCGATACAGGACAGGACAGGACAGGGGGAACCAGGGGTTGATACAGCAGCCAAAGATGCACGCCACCATGGACCACTTGTTCCACTGCGCCACGAACCTGGGGAGGGGGGCGGTAGGGAGTGGTGGACGGGGGAAGCAAGGGGGGACGGATAGGGGCAGGGACAGGACAGGGGGAACCATGGGTCGATACAGCAGCCAAAGATGCACGCCACCATGGACCACTTGTTCCACTGCGCCACGAACCTGGGGAGGGGGGCGGTAGGGAGTGGTGGACGGGGGAAGCAAGGGGGGATGGATAGGGGCAGGGACAGGACAGGGGGAACCATGGGTCGATACAGCAGCCAAAGATGCACGTCAAAATGCACCACTTGTTCCACTGCGCCACGAACCAGGGCAAGGGGAGGCAAGGGGGGAGAGATGGGCATAGGGGGGCGGATGGGCACAGCACAGGGCAGGGCAGTGAATGAATATATGCACGTGACCATGAACCAATTGTTACACTGCGTCACGAACCTGAATGGGGAAAGGTGGGCAAGGGATAAGGCATATACATACATAAATAGACAGATGCATATTCGTGCACATATACATACATAGAATGCATATATACACCAGAAGCATGCAACAAAGCCCCACCTGGAGTGCGGGTTGAGAATGCCCACGGGTTGCACCAAACCTTCCACGAACCGGAAAAAGCCCAGCATGGGCGACCGGCGCTTGCCCTGCCATTAGGACGGGCGGGAAGAAAGGGGTGTGCGTGGGGGTGAAGGGAAGGGTTTTGAATGACTAGTAGAACCCCAGCATAGGCGACAGGCGCTTGCCGTGCCACAGCGGGCTAGTTGGGGAAGGGGAAAGGGGGAAGAGAGAGGAGAGCGGGGGGACGTTGAATGATTGGAATTGTTCATGAACGGTGGAGGAAACGCGAGGACGAGAGAGGGAGAGGGAGGAAGAGCGGGGGTACGAGATCGGTATGCTTATTCAAAAGGGAGCTGGGTAGCGAAAGAGAGCGGGGTAGCGAAAGAGAGCTGGGTAGCGAAAGAGAGCTGGGTAGCGAAAGAGAGCGGGGTATTCTCATAAGGGCAGTGGAAGAAAGCGGGGTTGAAGGGAGGGGGGGTTTGACAACCAACCCGGCTGGTGAAGACAAAGCATGGCAGGCCGCAGCAGCGAATGATGGTTCTCTTCCCGCCCGTCTCCTCGTCATACTCCTCGTCATCCTCAAAATCAAACTCGTCGAAATCGTACTCAAAGTCGTCCAATCCTCCTCCGCCACGTCCTCCGCCGTCGCCTCCCCCGTCCCCGGCCCCGTCGCTCCCCCGCCTCCCCCCGCCGCGCCCGTCTTTCGACGCCAGCGGCTGCGGGAACTCGTCAATAGCCGCCGCCATGAGCTTCCGGTTCCGCAGCGCGTGCATCTCGGGGGGGCATTTGTTACACGTCGGATCCATGCACATGATCATCGATTTCTGCACTATATTCGATTTTGGTATGCTCGGCGTGTTCGGGGCAGTCCCCCCCCACGACCCCGACTGGGGGATCGCCGACGGCGGGGGAAACATTCCCGACTGCCCGATCAGCCCCGACTGGCCAATCATGCCCGACTTTCCCATGCCCGGGCCGGGGAACTGCCCGGACATGGGCCCGCCGGGCCGCCTCCCGCCGCGGAGAATCCCGCTGTCGCCCGGGCGGTAACTGGGAAAGGCGGCTTCCGGCATGCGCCCGCGCTGGAGATGCTGCGACGGGGACCACAGCCGAGCGTCTCCGCTCAAATCGCTGCCCATTCCGCGGTGTGCCGCGCCGTCGCCGGGGGAAACGACGGGGTGCGGACGGGGGTAGATGGCGGAAGAGACGGGGCGGGTTCTCCGCCGAGGGGGGGGTTCCGGCATCTCCATGGATAGATTCCGCCTGTCGTGCTCAGGATCCCGCGGCCGGAAGCCCGGGAAGCCTTGCTGAAGCCCTAACGGAGTCGGAGGGTTAGTGGACGTAAAACTGACGTCTAACGGAGCCGTCAACGGGCCGCTAGGAGTGGTTGGGTCCGAACCAGGCACGGCTGCTGCGGCAGCGGCGGCGGCGGCGGCAGACGCGGAGGCTGATGCGGCGGCTGTTGCGGCGGCAGCCGCGGAGGCCATGGCGGAAGGGGGTACGGGCGCTCCCGCCGCCCCACGTGCCCATCTTGGGGTGTAAAGGGAAGTGCTGCCGGTGCGCTCGACCACTCCTCCCGAGGAGCCGGAGCCGCGCTCGAAAATCCCGGAAGTGCTCGGGGCGCGCTCCGCCGATGCGAAGAAGCCGGGAATCGTCCCAACGTCGGTCCTTGGGGAGGGTAAGGCGGCGGCGGCGGCGGCGTGGGCGGAGTCGACCGTTGGAGGCTCTGGTGGGATTCCATGCTCGGGAAGACGTCGGTCTCGCTCCATCGCTGAAGCGGCTTAGCAAGGCCTTTCTTTTCGCAAGCTTTAATTAACAGTTGAATGAACGAAAACGCGCTGGAAACGCGACGGGGTCGAGATGATGGAATGGTGCGTTTAACTTAGGAGGAAACCGAGGGTAACGCGAACAGAGCAGCACTGAATTTGCTTGTTTACTTCCTCTCTGAAAGGCGGCTGTACTATGGTTGCTTTTGAATCATCTCAAAAGCTACTCAGTTTCGGACGTTATTGCTCCACTAAGGATAGCTCTAGGCTGAGGATTAGACTGGAACGGTCGAACACTGTGGCGGTTGTGCGTCACGGACGTGCCAGCTAGGCTTGCTTTCCTGGAGTGCGATGATTCTTGCGCAGAAACGGGATGGAGACGATGCATAACGCTAGTTCTTATGAATCTAACGCGGACTAACCTATCACAAGCGGGACAGCAATCGCAGGGAATGGGTCTACTGCGCTTCCATAACGCGTTTCTATAATTGCATGGGACACGGTGCATAGAGAGGGAAAACGGCCGTGGATGAGGGAAATGGATGGGATATGGGAATTATTGGATGGGGTGACTCGAGGATTCAGTTCAGACAGGCTATTATTTGGTCAAGGAAAATGTAATATGGCTGGTGGTGTGGTGAGACAAGTAGGTGTTTTTTAAGAACTTTCTGCCCTGAAACATGACCGAAAACACTCCTTTCCCGCTGGCACGGGTCGCCACTGGCTGGCTCGATCATGGAGGGAAACCGTTTATTTCGCGGCTGCCCAGTGTGGGTGTGTCAGGTCAGGTTGTCCTTGGGGATACCGTGTCTAGCAAGGCCCTTGTTGGAGCTCTGTTGCGGTGCGGCTCGATAATCTCAAGCTCAAGTGCAGTGCAGTGGTCCGATAATTTCCCAGGATCCCCACGAAGTCAGGCGGGGGAGGGGGGTGGAGCGGTGGGAGTGGGGTGGGGGTGGGGGGGACGCGATGTTGGTTGGACTCGAACCTCGAAACGACACCATTCACCCCTCCCTTCCCAAACAACCCTCTTCACCAAACAAACCTCCCCTTCCCGACCACCTTCACTTCACCCCCCTTCGCTTCCACTCCACACCTTGCAGTGTGAAGAGAAACACCAACTGCTGAGAGGCTCCGCCTCTCCAAGCCAGGCCCACATGCGCTCACCAGTTCCCTTCCCAAATCGTCTTTGGCTAGGGCAAATACGCTATACAATATGATAACTCGCTAAACGGTTTTCTACCCCAAAGTTGCATGTGTATGTCATTCACCCAGTTCTGGGACCCCTAACCGAGGGCCTGCGGTTCAGTAAGTTCCGTTGCGTTTTGAGACGGTAAATTGGGGGAACCTAGGGACTCTCCCCTCTCGGGATTCGAGGCAGGATAGGCCTTCCGTGCGAGGATCTCCCTCAGCCAGACGTGTACTAGAAGGTCCAGACTTTTCGGACTCACTTATTTGCGCGCATCCGGACTTGCTTGCAGGTTGCTGGTAGTTACTAGCTAGTTAGGGAGAAAGTGTTTGCAGCCAAAGTTTTCTGCTTATTGTCCATACGAGTAAGCTAGCACTTGCTCCTCTGGGTAGCTACTCGCGAAGCAGTCTCTACCGAAGGCCGCCATTGCCGTATTTTCATCCAGCATCTACCTGCATTGCTTCTAGACGGTTCAGCGTTTCGCATCCCGCTTTTTCCAACGAGAGCGAGGCTCGTCGTTGTGCCTTGTCCTGCGATCTCACGGCAAGGTGACTTTTGAGTCGACTCAAAAGTGTCCTGCGATCTCACGGCATCTCAAAAATGGCTTCCGAACTACTACGGCCGCAGGTTAGCCCTTCCTAATGTTGTTACCCATGAATTTCCTCTCGCATATCAGGTGTATTAAGAGTCGCAGACGTATACCGGGGCGCTAAATCATTACTATAATTCAAGCAACTTGAGAAAATCCTGTCAGAAGCGTGTGTGTTATGAGCTAAGATGCACATTTCCAGTTGAATTCTAAAAATGACTCTGCTATGCTAGCAAGATGGAAGCATCTTGACCGCTAAATCGCGACGTTTATACAATGGGGATGATTTCTTTTCGAAGAATCTCAGCATACCTTCCTAACTGATCCATCTCGCGGCAGGGAGTCGATGCACCAAGAGAACAAATTCTGATATGCCGGCCCTGATATGCCAACCTTAGGCTCTGACATGTCTCAAATGTCGTTCTCACACCATCCATTTCCTGTCCGATCTCGCGGCAGAAAGACGAGACGATGCTTCAGGAAGACGCGTCGCAAGCCTTCAGACTTCTCAATAGTCAATTTCACTAGCTTTTTATGATTCGCGGCAGGAGGACGAGACGATGAATCAGGACGACGCGTCGCAAATACCCAAGGAAGGAACGCTGACGTACGACGCCCGCTACAGACACTACAGCTTGACGAATCCCTTCTAATTACATCCATTTCACGGCAGGGGGACGAGACGATGACGCAGGAGGACGCGTCACAAGGGGCAGACGGCGTGCAAATACCCAAGGAGGGCACGCTGACGTACGACGGCCGCTACAGACGCTACAGCTTCTACGGAATCATATTCGAGGTCCCCGTGCGCTACGTCCCGCTCGTCCCCATTGGCCGAGGCGCCTACGGCATTGTCTGGTGAGCCACTGGTGGTGGTAGATGGAAGTGTGAGGGCAGCGCGATTAGGAGAACCAATGTCGATTTCAAACTTAGCGGTTGAGTTGAGAGCTATAATAATCAATCGTGCAGCCATTACGGACTCTCATTCAGATCACTCTCATTCGGATCACACTCATTTGGATCACAATCTTAACCAGTTACTATTCTTTGGTCGTGCGGACCTGAGTGTTGACCTATGCTGAGCATGAATGTTATGTGCACGAAAATTTCATTCATTTCACAGTCCTGGAAGAGCTTGGACGACTAGGAGGGAGGTAACGGTTGTGAATATTTCTAATATGCGTCTTCAAAAAAGAGTTTTTATCTTCTTCTTCCCTGTCAGCTCTGCACGAGACGAGACGACTGGCGAGGAGGTGGCGATCAAGAAGATCGGCAAGGCGTTTAACGACCGCACAGACGCCAAGCGGACTCTCCGCGAGATTGTGCTCCTCCGCAACATGAACCACCCCAATGTGAGCCCGCTCTCTGTTTTGTTTGGTGATCACTCTCTGAATCTGGATGAGCACTCTTGTAGAAGATGCATTCTGTGCTCCTCCGCACCATGCATTCTGAACCAACCCAATGTGAGCCTTCTCTCACTCTCCCTCTGGTTGAATCTGGATGAGCACATTGTGTATGAGCCCGTGCCCACTAACTGCTCTCCCACACCTTTGCCCTCTCCATCTCCCCATCATCCCCCTCCCACCAGGTGATCGCCATCAAGGACATCATCCGCCCGCCCAACCCACAGAGCTTCCAGGACGTGTATATCGTTTACGAGCTCATGCCCACGGATCTGCACGAGGTCATTCGTTCAGGGCAAGCCATGGACGAACGGCACTACAAGGTGCGTGGAGTGAGTGGCCGTGTGCAAGGCCTGGCGGTGCAAGGCGTGTGGCACTACAGGGTGAGTGGCTGGCACAAGGTGGGTGCGTGGGGGGCACTACAATGTGAGGTTCACCTTGTGCACTAGACGTGGGCCGTCTGTGGTGGCACAAGGTGGGTGGGTGCAAGTGAAAGATCGATCTGATCGCGTTATGGTGTGAGGCTGCAATCGCGTACGAGCTCATGCCAGAGGGATAACCTCTGCCAGCATCCCTCCTGTACGGGCTTGCATCCCGAGCTTGCATGAGGTCATTCAGTCAGCTGCTCCACGGAACCGAGTATATCCACTCTGCCAGAATCCCTCCTTCCCCTTCCCCTTTCCCTTTCCCTTTCCCTTCCCCGACCCCGTCCCCGACCCCGTCCCGACCCCGTCCCCGTCCCCGTCCCCGTCCCCGTCCCCGTCCCCGTCCCCGTCCCCGTCCCCGTTCCCTGCTCGTGTATTCCATGTTTTACCCCTTCCCTTTCCCCCTTTCCCCCATCCTTCCTCAACTTAGTTCATTCTCTTCCAGCTGCTGCGGGGAACAAAGTCCATCCATTCGGCCAACATCCTGCACCGCTCCACATCTTGTACCCTCACATCGCCTCTCCCCTTCCCTCCGTCCTCCCCTTTTTTCTCCAGTTCATTCTCTTCCAGCTGCTGCGAGGCACAAAGTACATCCACTCGGCCAACATCCTGCACCGCGACTTAAAGCCTCCCAACATCCTCATCGACGCGCGCTGCAACATCAAGATCACCGATTTCGGCCTCGCGCGAACCCGCGTGGAAACCACCGACCACCTGACTGAATACGTGGTTACCAGATACTACCGCGCTCCTGAGCTGCTGGTGAACAACCAGCAGTACAGTGCGTCCATTGACGTGTGGTCGGTGGCGCTCATTTATCTGGAGCTGGTGCTGGGACACATTGTGCTCAAAGGGGATAACTATGTTGACCAGCTTCGGAAGACTTGTGAGGTGCGTCCGTAGCTAGGGGTAAAGGGAGGGGAAGTAGGGAAGGGAGAGCAGGAAAGGGAGAGCAGGGAGGAGGTCGAAACTACCGACCTCCTGTCCGAATACGTGGTTACCAGATACTACCGCGCTCCTGAGCTGCTGGTGAACAACCAGCAGTACAGTGCGTCTATTGACGTGTGGTCGGTGGCTCTGATCTACCTGGAGCTGGTGCTGGGGCACATTGTGCTCAAAGGGGATAACTACGTGGACCAGCTCCGCAAGACCTGCGAGGTGCGTCTCAAGGAGAGGGTAGGAGTGATAGTAGGGGAGGGAGAGCAGATTAGGGAGAGTAGGGAAGGGAGAGCAGGGGAGGGACAGTAGGGGAGGGAGAGCAGGGGAGGGAGAGCAGGGGAGGGACAGTAGGGGAGGGAGAGCAGGGGAGGGAGAGCAGGGGAGGGACAGTAGCGGAGGGAGAGCAGGGGAGGGAGAGCAGGGGAGGGACAGTAGCGGAGGGAGAGCAGGGGAGGGAGAGC